CCAGAAATCTTTCTTCCTGATGTTTATGATATACTTAAGTAGTTCTATAAATATGGATGCGTTGTTTCCAAGGGGAGTTGGATCCTGGATAAGTTAGCAACTGCTTCAGTTGTGAGCCCTTTGCAAAACCGACTACAGATCTACTACATCTAGTCTGCTCTGTCGACCTAACTAAGTGCTCATGTCGAAGCAATTGAGTTTACTTTGAGTTAATTTCCTAAAGTACAATATTTATTGAAATCCTATGAACTAGACTGAGATATTGATCACCAGTTGATATTTGCAGTGTTGCAGTTTATAAGGCATTATACAAGAGCTTTGGTGGCTTTGCTGCAGATGTCGTTGCCGCCATAGACCAGGTACCTTTTCATTTTTAGTTAGAGAGTAGAGAAGAAGGGTACAAAAGAAAGGAATGTATCTGTGTTTGGACTTCATACAAACGAGAGAAGAAAGTAAAATAAGTGCTGCAGGTGTTGTTTCCCTGCATTGCTTGTACTTTGATCTTTTTGATTGTGTATAAGCTTTCAAATAACTGCCGAAAATGGGATATGATCTTCTTTTCTGATTTTTGATGTGTGGACATTTACGTTGACCTAGAATCATTCCCCTCACTGGAATTTTGAGATTTCCAGTTCCATCTGATGGTGCTTTGGATTTTCTTCTCTTGAGCTGAGCTTTTCCATATAAACAGCTAAAAGAAAACAAAGAACAAGACAGCATTTTCCAGTCTATTTCCATGAGCTCGACATTGAACATGCAGATGTAGATTTGCTATAAGTGTCACAATACCTTCAGCAAAGTATATGTGCTTAATCTTATGACAGGAGTGGTCGCCCGAATTCCACAATGTGGCAACATCACACATTGATGCTTGTGTTATTAGTGGTAAAGCAGCCTTGTTAAAAATGGCGGTATAGAAGGAAAAAGATCTCATTGTTATTGGACAACTGTTCATGTATGAAAACCTTATTTCATATTAAATTGTACTCTCTTCTTCATCATTGTAGTAAGCATAAGGTGCATCTTCACAAAGCAAAAACAAGATATATCTTCATTCCTTAGCACTGATACTTATCTGTTTTCATTGATAGGCAGCCCAGGATGGTGTGGACATAATCAATTTATCAATCACTCCAAACAGGCGTCCTCCTGGTGTCGCTACTTTCTTTAATCCTATAGACATGGCCTTACTGTCAGCAGTTAAGGCCGGCATCTTTGTAGTACAAGCAGCAGGAAATACTGGACCTTCACCTAAAAGTATTTCTTCCTTCAGTCCATGGATCTTCACTGTTGGTGCTTCAACCCATGACAGGGTTTATGGTAACTCTATAGTGCTTGGAAACAACATTACAATACGTGGAGTTGGACTTGCACGTAAGTCTATCTTGATGATCAATTTAATAATTATTCTGTAGAACTTATTGTATAAATAAAGTTCAACAATTTTTTCTTAATAAAATATCGGTCGAGAATGAAAGATGACTTTTACAGGGTTGATTTCGTGTTTGATCAAGCTACGCACTTGGACATGTTAAGACCTGTTAAAGAATATGCACTAGTAGCCTAGATATTTTGCCATAAGGAATATTTTTCTTGTTAGTTTTAAACCATATTTGCTCTCCTATCTTAAGTAGTAAAAAAAAGTTGCATAATATTTCTGGAATAACATGAGTGAAACTGTGACGATCATCTGAAATTAAAATTTTCCGGGTTTTTTTCTTTTGATCTACTATACATCTACCAAACTTGAGTCTTCCTTGTTCTTTGACATATCCATCATCAGCATACAGTCATGAATTTGGTAAACAAACCATTTGCATGTTCCAAGACATTTTTGGCTTGTACATACTACTGTTCTTTCCTATGCATAAATTGGTTAGTTTTCACTGGATAAAGATAATGGAATTAAGTAACCATTAGTTTTCTTTGGGTGCAAAGGCAGTTGTTTGATTTTAGCTTGCACTCCACTTCAGCTATTACTACAATTTATTGGGGCTAGCCCTTTGTCCATTAAGGTTCTTTACAATTTAAAGAAGTTCCTGTCATGTGATTGGCTTCAAAGTTGTGTATTTTTCTGCAGCTGGAACAGATAGCATGTACACTCTAGTTATGGCAATTCATGCTTTGAATGACACAGCAGCTAATGATATGTATGTGGGTGAATGCCAAGATGCCAGTAGTTTCAATCAGACTCTTGTTCAAGGGAATCTTTTAGTTTGCAGCTACTCTGTCCGCTTTGTTCTTGGACTTTCCACCATCAAACAGGCCCTGGAAACTGCTAAGAACCTTAGTGCAGCTGGTGTTGTGTTCTACCTCGATCCTTTTGTCATCGGTTTCCAAATCAATCCGACTCCAATGAGATTGCCTGGTATCATAATTCCATCTGCAAATGATTCTGAGGTATGTCTTGAGATATGCTACTCCCTCCATTTCATTTTATATGGTAGTGTTTGACTGGAAAGGAGTTAAAGAAAGGAAAGCCATGACATTTCATTGACTATACGAGCATCTCATTAAGGGTACACTGAGAAGTTTAAAGTTAAAGAAATTCCAAATATAGAAAGGTGCCATTCTTTTGGAACAAACTCAAAAGGAAAGAGCCATATAAAATGAAACACGGGGAGTAATTTTTATCATCTGGCCAAGTCATCTTGGATCGCTAATGAAGTTTGATAAAAATCTTATATGTACATTATCATCAGCTTACTCCAAATTCTTTCAACTTTTGGTTCCCATGCACCCAACTGTTTATTTGCAATTTGCATTTACTGATTTCAAGTAACTTGGCAGATCTTACTTCAGTACTACAATTCTTCATTGGACCAAGATGAAGTTACTAAGAAAATTATAAGGTTTGGGGCAGTTGCATGCATTTCAGGGGGTCTTAATGCAAATTTCAGCTTGTCTGCTCCGAAGGTTATGTTTTATTCTGCTCGGGGACCAGATCCAGAAGATAGTTTTCTTGATGATGCAGACATACTTAAACCAAACCTAGTTGCTCCAGGAAATTCTATATGGGCAGCTTGGAGTTCCGGTGGCATGGAGTCGGTTGAGTTTGAAGGTAGTTGAACTAAAGAAAGCTTGTAGGTTACTGTAAAGCTATCTCTCAACAAATGAAAAAATGCTACTTGTACATGTATGAAAATGACATTATATATTTGCTTACGTATGGTACTTGATCCAATATTTAGGTGAAGATTTTGCAATGATGTCTGGAACCAGCATGGCGGCCCCTCATATTGCTGGTCTGGCAGCACTCATTAAGCAGAAATTTCCTAGCCTTAGTCCTGCTGCTATTGGATCTGCACTTTCTACCACAGCTTCTCTTTATGATAATAATGGCGGTCCCATATTGGCCCAGCGCGCATATGCTAACCCAGATTCAAACCAGTCTCCTGCAACACCTTTTGACATGGGAAGTGGATTTGTGAATGCTACTGCTGCATTGGATCCAGGCCTTATTTTTGATACAAGTAAGGCACTCTTCTTTGCTCCCGTGTATCTTTGCTGTGGAAGTTGAGGAAAATTTATTATTCGTTCTAAAATTTAAGTAGTTATCAGATGTTATTAATATGTGAATGATGGACATGGTGGTATATCCACAGTTCTGCTTATATTTTGGCAAATTGAGAGAAAAGAGTATGTCTGAAACTGGTTTAAGGAAGATGTTCTGGAAGTCTTACATTTGTTTTACTTGAAAGGTCTATGTTGACTTGACTTAGGCCTCACTACAATGCTGATCACAATTTTATGGAGAAAGTTACTTCTCAGTTTTTAGTCTATCATTTTAAGTAGTTATCCTGTATTTTATGTAAGATTATATCTACTGGAGACATATGGTGGTTACTCCCACACATGTTTGAGCAACCAGTGTATTTTTTGGGTCGAATTGGGGGTTTGAATAGATAGATCTTGTCGTATCTCTTCATCTTCTGCCTGTCTCTGATATGGCATTTGAAAATGTTCATTGTAGGCTATAGTGACTACATGTCATTCCTCTGTGGCATAAATGGATCGGCACCTGTGGTACTGAATTACACTGGTGAGAGCTGTGGAGCATCTACAATGAATGGAACTGAGCTGAACTTGCCTTCCATCACAATATCGAAACTGAATCAATCCAAAACAGTACAAAGAACATTGATAAATATTGCTGGCAATGAAACATATGCTGTTGGTTGGAGTGCACCTTATGGAGTTTCTATAAACGTCACGCCAGCACGCTTTTTTATAGCAAGTGGGCAGCAACAGGTCTTGAATTTTGTCTTTAATGCTACTAAGAACAACACTGCACCAAGCTATGGAAGAATTGGATTATTTGGTAACCAGGGTCATGTTATAAACATTCCTTTGTCAGTCATAGTAAAAATTTCATACAACACAACTAATAGCTGATTCAGCTGTTAAGACTTCTCTTTTTTGTAATTTTGTTGAGTGTCCAATTTTTTGATTTGTTAGGCTCTGTAAATGTGTTTGAAATGTAGATAACTCATTGGTTGATGATAAATAACCATGATGTGATTTTGTTCGCCGACTGATTATTGTTGTAGTTCTTAAAGTTGAGGAAAAATAAAATCTTATGGTAGAAGTTTGGGACCAAGGGCTTTACTAAGGGGTGCCATGTGGCACGGTTTCACAATTTTTATTTTATTTTACTTATAAATAATATTCTTCTAAAAAAATACATGTGCGTATGCTCAATATAGCTAGAAAATAATACAAAATAAACATTAATCTGATATAGAAGTAAAACTTTAAATCAGATTGCCAGTCTTTTGCAAAGTCTTGTTCATCAGTTTTTAAACAGCCCCTCTGCCATTTCAGGGGTAGGGGTAAGGCTGCGTATATCTTACCCTCCCCGTACCCCAAAAATGGGCAATCCTGAGCCAAATCCAGTTTTCCAAAAACAAACAAAGGTTCAGAAAGGGAAACTACTGGGTTTGTTGTTGTTCATCAGTTTTATGGTCAATGCTGGAGGAACAAAGCAAAGGGGAGGAATCTCCAGAATTGAGTTCATTTAATTCACATAAAGTACAGAACCACAATGCTAAGATTGCACTTCAATGATCCAACAATCACCAAATAGCTTCTATAAAAAATGAAATCACATCGCAAACAAAAGCTTCCAATCTGCAAATCAATCCGTGGAGCGATGGTTTGTGAGATTCTTCTGTACAGGGTGTCTCTCAGACATTTTCTCATGATATAATCAACAAATCTAACAGGATAAAATAGTAAAAGAAGACTTGAGTTTTATATATTTGATTGTAGGTCACACCACAAACTCAGCACACATGAAGCTTTGACTCATTTCCATCAACTAGTGAGAGTCTAGGTCAGATCATCTTCATCCAAAGGCTCTTCATTGTCTTTCGTGGCTTCATTCTTGAACGCACTAACATCCCCCGTAGGCAATTTCCTCGCAATCTTGATGATCTGGATTTATTGCAATTTGTGTTAAATGTTAAAATAGCAAGTTGAATGGATTATTGAATGGCTTAAGTACACACTCATAAACAACAGAAGTACAATTAGATGTAAGTGCAGGAAAGAAGGGGAAAGGGAAGGAAAATAGATATCACACAAATGAAGCTTCTTGCTTATGCATCTTAATTTCCTTACTTTTTCGTCCAAGTGCAAATCAAACTCTCAAGCTCATCATTAACTGTGAAGCATTGAGCATTGACAATGATCTAGAAGCTACTCACGAAACAGCTATGCAGACCAAACAAGAAATTTTTTTGCAGTTCAATTAACGAAGGACTCTTTGAATTCTGGGAGAAAGTTCTGAAGCAAGTAGGAAAAATATTATACTGAGTAAAATGGCTTACGAAAACAAATATCAAAGAAAAGTACAAGTTTTTATCAGTCGGGACGATTTAGCTGAAAAGATGCTCCAAAAATCTTATTGCTAGAAAACTACAGAACCAGTCACTTGCGGGAGAGAAACAGTTGGATTAAGGAATGTCTAGTTTAAATAGAAACCTGGTGATACCCCATTCCAACCATTCTTACCAAAAAGCTGAGAACTAACCGACCCACTTATTGTCATTCAAGACGATGTTACAAGCCTAAGCACAACAGCCATCCAAATAATTGAAATAGTAGGCAATTGCAACTCAATATTGTCAAAAGAGCTACTCTGTGCCATGCTAAATTTGTTAGTGTAAGACAGTACTTAGCACTCGTCATCTTGACTCTAAAACTCTAATACTGTATGACTAACCGTGTGATCAAGATTTGATACAGTGCTTGATTGCGCCACGCGTTTAATATCCTCAACATCGCCTTCAGCATAAGCAGAGAGAAATTTACCAGCACAGCGACCTTGATCGCTATTCAGGAAAACTTCAACCCTACAAAGAAGAGCCAACAACCGTGTCTTTAGTAGGATAAGAATTAACCTGATAAAATCATGAGTAAACTAAAAATATAAGAGAGGTTATCAAATCCAGAAGCAAACATGAACTTGAAAAATAAAACTGTCCATATAGATTCATCAGTCTGAGAAAGATAAACATGAAAAGCTGAATAGGTAGGGATACACAGAAGCCTAACGATTTTAGCCGTCCATTCCTTGTTGATCCTCTTCCCTTAGCATAATGTCCCAGATGCTCAACTCACAAAAATAAATAAGAATTAAAAAAATACTCTAGGCTAAAATAGAAGGATATTAGACAAAGGCAAGTATCTGGAGGTCCATAGTCGGTAGTTCTTTTCTTCTACTATCATTTGTTTACCAGATATTCAAACAACAAACTCTTCCCACTTAGATATGCGACTCACATACTAATTGTGTGATTTGCTGAAGCCTTACACCAAGAATAGAGGAGAGAACTTGTACAATTTGCTTACAGGACATTCATTTACTGCTCTATCACAAAGGGAACAAATATCGAACCAGTGAACAAAAATTTGCAGCAGCACATTTATTCATATATTTTAAAAAACTCTATATTAAATAGGAGCAAACTGAACTCTTGTAGTAACCATCAGTCCTTTTCAATAAAACTTGTTCTATGACAGAACTAAACAACATTTACCTTAACCATGCATGTGGAAGATCCGGGGTATGATTTCAAATAATGAGCGGATGTGGAGTCCAACAGGAGAAATACAAGCTAAGAAGGATCCAAGTAGATGGACTCTAAGATTCTAGGGACTTGATGAGGATATTATAATCCAGAGATGCCTATTTATTGGCTATTCCAGATTTCACTAAGTCTGACTAACCCAGGTGAAAGTAGTATGGGATCTGGCACTCCTAGACTTAAAGATAAGGAAGTAGATTAATGTAACTGGGCTAAACAAGGTTGAAGAAGTTGCCCGCCAAAGGGCACTGGAGAAAATGCATTGAAATGGTAAAAGCATCAATCACATCATTATACGCCTCATCCTTGGATCATTGTGTTGGAAAACTCAAAGAACGCTTTTGGACCTGCCTATTTTTTGGGTTTTCTCCATACAAGACATATTTCCTTAACCACAAACACCATAAAGAGATGTGCAAATGAAAAAGGGAATGCTAAACAGTGAACTTCACTAGAGAGATTGTATTGCACTAGAACCTGTGATAAGATTCAATGGGACTGAACACATCCAGAAACTGGTTTAAAACTAAGTTGCTCCAACACGGCAGTTTAGATGCCGCATCTGTGTCGACACGACACTAGTATGGGTGTGGATATGGCATCTTTTCTGGATGTATCGGATCTGGTCAAACAATTTTGGGTACTTTGACCACGACGGCCGGAAAAATTCGAGACGAAACACAATTTGATTCCCAAAATCAGAACCAAAACTAGGGTAAATTTGAAGAAAATAGCATACTTTATCTAGGAAATCAATCCTTTACTTATCTACAACTTGAGAATAAAAAATAAATCCACACTTTACAAGCTATACGTAAGTATTCCACAAAATTTCTCATAATTTAGAGATATTTTTATATTTTTGAATTATTTTTAGCCGGATCCCTACACCCGTATCCGTACTAGGATCCGTATCCCCGAATCTTAGAATTTACATCTCGAAGGATCCGACTTCTAGATCCGCACCCATGTCGGACACCCGCAATGTGTCCGAGCAACTTAGGTTTAAAATGCATTTGTATTGAGACAAGTAAGACATTTAGGTGCAGTAAAACTAAATAAATAATCCACGCAAAGCAATAATGGTGGTAAAACAGCTAACTTGAACCAGCTGACAACTAACTGAGCATGTCATCCCTACTTGCTAGGCACCCGTATATCAGTACATGAGATCGTTCTTTTCCTTTTTAAGGAGTGCACACGATATTGTTAGTTTCTCTATTTGAGTATATGGGTCCACATGGAGTGATATACTCATAACAAGAAATTAAAATTCTCAATTTGAATGGTCTAATGGTTATTATCTGCATGGTAAACTTCCTTTGCCAAGCTACCGGGAAGCAGTCTAAAATGAAAAAGGAAACAAGGCCAGCCATGCTACAAAGCTTTGAAAAGATGAACAAGAAAGAAAAGATGCTGGTCAGTACACAAAAACTATAAGCGTCAAAGAAAACTACTTTTTCCTATTTGTTAGATCTCATTTCACCTATACTATTTGCTTTCCCCCTTTCCCACCTAATAAAATGTTATTCTTTTTTCCATCAAACCAACTTTCAAACTTTAAGTTTTTGCAATGGACTTCGCTTGTCAGATCTCGTTTCACCTTCTCCATATGCTTTCCTCCCATTCCACCTAGTAAAACTTTTATTCCTTTTTCCATCAAAACCAAATCTCATACATAAATTTTTTTAATGGACTCCACTTGCTCTCGACTTCCAATTCTAGCGTTAAAAAGTAAAACAATACATATGGAGAATTAGAAAATTAATTCTTGTAGCACTTAATTGCTTAAGTCATGAGCATAAAGGTACACAAAAAGGTAAAATCAACATACTTGAGCTGATGAAATACATAAGTAACTTACTGACAACAATCATTGTAGCACTTTTCCGCTTGCCTAAAGTCATGGGCATACAGGTATACAATGATTGCACTAAGATAAGCCTGCAAACAATTGATTACTTTAGCAAATGCTGAAAGGTTGAAACCTTCACTTCACAGAATAAATTTTCAAGTATTTTAACACTATATTTATCTTTATTGATAAAAAAAAAGTATTTTAACGTTATATTAAAAATTTATGCCCACATTAATCATGAAGAGACAAGTCATGGATGATGAGTTAGATATGGGATCAACAGATCGTTACAGAGAACCTGAGATACCCACTCCAACATTCATGCATGTGTTAACCAAGGACTACTATTCTCTAAGAAAAAGAAAACTGAAATAAAAAAAAAGAAAATACAATAAGGCCCATATAAACTGAAACCATAATCACATCCTCCTGAGACAAGACTATCTCCTCAGTAGCTTGAAGAATTGGATGAAATGAGAGGATGATGGTAACAACGCCAACAAGGACAAAGTGAAAACAGCAAAAAGAGGCAAGAGGGAAAAAAAAGAAAGAAAGTCACCAAAAAGGGAGGAAGAAAAAAGCATACATAGAAATCTTAGCAATACATATGAGCCCATAAGTTCGATTATATCATTATTATGTGGAAAATCAGAAACAAACCAAAGGATCCAAATTTCCTATATTCTAAACCGAAACCAATCCCATAACTGAATAAATTCTGTCTAAATAATCCAAAGAATATCAGCTTTTTTGTTAAAACCGAAAAATGCACACGGCTACAGATCACTCATTAAAAATGTCTAAGAAAAGAAAACTAAAATATAAGCAGCAGATGTGAAGTTTAGGCATTAAGAAAGCCACAAGGGTAGACGAACTACCAAAGAGGCCACATCAATATCGCTGACATTGGGTCCTACATACATATGCAATTGACGGACAAAAGAATGGCAAGGGAAAGGCAAGAGAGAGAGAGAGAGAGAGAGAGAGAGAGAGAGAGAGAGAGAGAGAGAGAGAGAGAG